TCCTCAAGTTAGTATTATACATTAGAGAGGTACACTTTATACATGCTATACCTTAGAGAGGTGCACTTTATACGTGCCATACCTTAATTCCACGGGCAACGCCGGGCACTAGTTTAATCATATGTTTCTGAAATGAACTGTTTCGAGGTTACTTATTAATCTTAACTGATTGCATTAGTAATAGATGATTAATAAATATGAACACTGCATTGAACACTTTAAACCTAAACTTTTTTTGTGCTTACTCGGATTTGCTATCAACTATGTAATTCTGGGTATTTTTAGTCAATATATTGGCGAATAAGTGCATAAAACCGTACAAAGTACAGTATACTTTTGTCAGGGTTCTTCCCAGATTTCTTGTGGCAGGTCTGGATAAAGGCAAAATTGGCAGATTTTCCAAAAGTGGCAGAATTTACACACAGCCCGCGAAAACTTTGAAGAAGTTTTCTGCGGCGGGGGGTCGCAAGGGGGGCAGCCTTGAACAGAAAATTTTGGGATTCTAGTAGTAGAATAGAGCTTTTTGGTGCTGTAAAAAGGTCAATAACCAGGTCCCCAATTTAAGATTTTCATTACTATTTTTCATGAAACTTTGGGGTTTTTCAAAATTGTCAGATAAGTTCTCTAAATTGGCAATTTTTATTCCTAAATTGGCAGATTTTTGGCCAAATATTTCAAATCTGAAAGTGGCAGGTCTGTTGGGTCAGGTAAACTGACCCAAATTTGCTCTGGGAGGAACCCTGACTAGTGTAGTAGTGTTGTAAGTTTACTGTTCTGTATAGGTTTGTCCTGGACTGTATCGAGCAGAGGATGCGCTGAGCAGTAAGGTACACGAGCTACTACTAGCTGCTGGTCAGACTGGTAAGGTTGCTGAAAGATCTCGACTTGTGGAGGAGGCAGTCAAGATTTCTAAACAAATTGCTGGAAACCTCAGACTGGATGTAAGTAAGAGTTACATTTAATCGTAGACAAATCTTAAAAAATGCACACACACACCCCTCTCAAAGGTTTTGGTGGGAAAAATGAAAAACGACTTTTAATCCATTTAAATTATTTCCCCCCAAAGAAAATTTATTTTCTCGCATCTTGGGATGAAATTAAAAAATACACAATATTGTTTAAGTAAAGTAAACAATGCTTTAATTTATTGAATATAAAAATTAAACATATGTACACTGAACAGTGAACACTTACAGGTTCTTGTATCTCATCTGACCGCTGTACACGCGTACACAGCTGTGGTGGAAATTTGTCTAGCCGCAGCACGCCGGAAGGATCCTCAAGTTAGTATTTACGACTTACAATTCATCAATTGTTATTAAAACTATTGTTATCAGTTTTAAAATAATAGTATATTATGCGTAGGAAGAAATTGTAATAATCAAAATTGTTGTTATAATATTAAAAGAAAAACCGTGGAATAATTTTGATTATTCACCGAAAGGCGCAGCCAGAGGTGAATAAACAAAAATTTTTATTTTACCACCTTATTTTTTTTATTTTACCACCTTTACACGAATAATTATAATTATTACACAAAATGGGTGACAATAACAAGAATTATTCCTGATTTGGCCACGTAGTAAATCTATAAGAATGTGGTATAATAATCAAGATTTAATTTGTAGAATTTTTTTAGACGTAAAGAATCCTATATTTTATGTTACGTAGCGCTTTCCTGTTTTTTTTACCAAGGATATTTTTTTAAGTCATTTATTTTGGAGCAAAAACTTTTCAAATAATCTGGAGAAAACAAATTATTTTTCAATAGTTTTCCAAAGAATATATTCTCCTGGTGTTCTACAGTACTATTGTACAGGGTTTGGCAGTACACTATTACCACCAGGGGGAGAGGAAGGAAGATACTGCTGGGTTCAATGCGTACAGATCTAGGAATGTTTATTTCAGATAACAAACTTGTTATTCCTTTAAATCTGCTCTGTCCTGATGTCATACTTAACCTAACATTGCCAGGGGTGTACAATTTTAGAAAGAAGAAACGATTTTTGAAAATCTGGGGGAAATTAAAAATTGGAAATGAAAAGTCAAGTTGTTCCATACTTTTTCATATTTATTACCCAATGATTTATTTATTTCCCTAGAAATCAATTATTTTTCCAAATAAGCGAATACAAGTTACCTACCTTGTCTACCCCACACATCCTACCTAGTACTTAACAAACTATCTAATTACAGGCCTACTAAACTTAAATACAATACCAGATACTTACTTTCCTATCTTATACCTACCTACCTACCTACTTACCTACCTACCTACCTACCTACCTACCTACCTACCTACCTACCTACCTACCTA